CAAGAGATTGCAGCCCGACTTCAGATGTATCAGAGAATATCAAGTCAAGTCTGTACAGACAAAGAACCAAGAAGGTCCCCCCCGTACTCCAAAAGACTCTAAAGAGCTACAGCGTCATGGGGATTCTGTAGCGTCATGGGGATTCTACAGGGTCATGGGGATTGGGCTACAACAGACCAAGGAGAAGACTTCCTACTGGTAGATGACAACAGCGGTAGTAGGATCATTGTTTTTGGATCTCTCTCTAGTTTATCCAGATTGTGTCAAAGTGATACTGTTTCAATGGATGGCACTTTCAAGATTTGTCCCAAAATATTTGATCAAGTATATATCATCCACACCCATGATAGGTTACATGGTACTTTGCCTGAGCTTTTTTTGTCTCATTCCTGATAAGACCAGTGCCACATACCATCCGGTAAGCTCACTGTCAAAATTGGGACAACTGGTAGATCAATTACAGAAGTGTGAAATTTCACTGTCAAAATTGGGACTGTCAAAATCGGGACTAAACCATAGAACTATACTCAGTACACTTATCAAAATTCTAAAGCAAAGTTGAATACTATTTGTCTGACAACATATTCAGACAGTACATTACAAGATCAGTCTTTTCTTTGAAAGTAAAAGTACCCTCATCAAAATTTAGCAGTATGTTAATTCTTCCAGATTCGGCTAACTCATGATCTCTGAAAGATGCTTTGTAATATTATTCTGACAAAGATACCCACGGCATCATAAATATCTGCCACTTTTTTCCTATTATTTCATAAGAACACACAACATATGCTGTATAAATATTTCATATGAAACAGAAACGTTATTTGTTGCTCAGTAACCAACTAAAGGAGTACCAGCTGTCAGAATTAATGAAAGAAATTATTTCACTGGGAGGTAAAAATAACTTGGCTAATGAAATCTGTCCTGTAGAAGACTCTATCCTATCCCGAAAGTCGTTTCTTCTAAAATTACACTAATACCAGAGTTAGATAATGTGCTGTGGCTAAATGCATCATCACTGTCAATCACACGCCAACTGTCAGCGCCAAAAATGGTAATAATAAAACTATTTATACTCTGATTTGGAAATAACCAGAGAACAACAGGATGTTCTTTTCCACAATGTTTAAACATGTTCATTGTGTCGAATTATGATTGAATCCATGGTGTAATTTTTTTCATTAATGTCTGCAGATTATCTTTTTAAAATAGATTTTCAAATTCTTGATATTTTTAACAGGTTTCCAGAATATTTCTGATGTTTCAGGAGTATCAGAATTCCTTTTATGGTATTGGCAAATAGAATTCATTCTTTTTCCCAGAGTTGGGACCTTAGTTTGAAATGATAAACAAAACCCATTCATTATGTGTAATTTAACATGTTTCAAATCCTTTTTGTTTCAGTACACTTTAATCTGATTAAAAACTAATTGTAATAATTTTTCTTTCTGAATTTTTGGATTGATGACATGTATGTAGTACCTACATTGTACAAGGTTCCTTTGGCAACACATCAACAGAAAAATCATGAAAATGTAAATATCCTTTTCAGTAAGTGATGCTGGGTCAGAGATGCTTGTTAAACATGAATCATCTGAAACCTGATAGGTGTTTAACCCCTGCAAACCAGAAACAAAGTAAACTTTCAGTCAAGAAGGCGATGATTGATAAACCATGTTGAGTGCATAGAAGATACAATATCACCCCCATTCCACTCTCATTCCTTTGATATTGATATTGTTAATCTGTCATGCATTTGAAAGATTAACTTCAATAATATGAAAATAATGGGTCATCCTTAACTTCTTTTGTGTGGAATGACAGATTAACTACAGTAGCATGAAAACTTTGATCTTCCTTAACTAGTTTAGTAGAATTAGGGGAGAACTGTACTGTGTTTGACGAATTGGGGACGTATACCGGTGGTTGTATAGCCGCAAATTTATGTAATCGGCAACGTGGAAGGTATTATACAGTTATCCCCATTCTTATTATCCCCTGCAACTCGTTTTGCGGGGGGTATTAAAATTGACTCTGTCCGTGTGTGCACTTTTGTCTTTTCCGGAGCAGAACTCTAAAACCGTTCACTATTTCTTCACCAAAGTTGGCACATAGATAGATCTGGTGGTGTACTGGTGCCTTTTGGTAGTTTTGGAATTCTGAATAAAATATTTTTTGCGTTTCCATGGCAACAATTTCGACTTAGACTGAAATTTGTGGTTGTGCTCTTTTCCGGAGCAGAACTCTAAAACCGTTCACTATTTCTTCACCAAACTTGGCACATAGATTGGTTTGGCGGTGTACTGGTGCCTTTTGGTAGTTTTGAAATTCTGAATAAAATGTTTTTGGCATTTCCATGGCAACAAGTTTGACTTAGACTGAAATTGGTGATAGTGCTCCTTTCTGGAGCAGTCTCAACTTTAAAAACCTTTCAATACTCTCCTTCCACTTTAGTAGCCTAAATATATGACATAATCATAACTTGTAGACATAATCATGAAGAGTATCTTGCCATTGCGGGGGATATTGATGACTTTGTCTTCTTGTTCAACTCATTTTACACTTTTTTTTTCGGGAAAGACATTCATTATTTAAACCAGGTCAAAATTCATCTAGGTCAAAGGTTAATCATATCACTCCTTGAACTTAAACTATCACCAGAAAAAGTAGTTCCCTTTTCAAACTTCAACACGTTTATTATGTGCACAATGACTAAATCTGACAATGTTGAATAAATCATAGTGTTATAGCTAAAATGGACAGAATTATCGTGAAACCGCCCTTTAGTTATCAGAAATGAGCGGGCCGCTGCAGATAATAACGGCCCGGTGATTCCTCAACTACAGGCCATGATCAGTTCTGCTGTCAAATGACGTCACAGCAAGTGACGTCACGCTCCATAATGACGTCATAAATCTTGTTTCATGATCTAATAGTGTTGGGTCAACAGCCCGTTGCGAGTAAGTTGTTTGAACTTACAATTAAATTTATGATACTGTTTGGTCTTTTTAAGCACAAATTCCATCCATTTTAGCGGGATGGGGGGAGTTAATTGACCTAATGCTTCTGCAAATGACAATGCCCTGAAAAACAGCGTTACCCCAACAGTGTAGGGATACATTCAAAGGTTTTGGTGAATTGGTTTCCAAATTGCGACCATATATGCTGATTATACAGTCGGAAATTTATAGCATTGACCAATCAGAACTCGTGTTACATACTAAGCTGAATTGGAATGATAGATTAATAACTGTAGGGTCTTCCTTTACTTGTTTTGAGTAGCGTGACAGATAACACTCATTCTCACGTGAACAATGGCGAATATGTATTTCAAAAAGGTCGACAGTTGGAATAAGAGTTTGTAAATTTCATGGTGCAAAGGTCACGTATTTTTGAACCACATTTATGAATTTTTAACATCCAATTCAAACCTAATTTCTTGTTATCATTGTCCAAAAGTTGTAATTTATGATTTTGTTATGTTATTGATTGCCGTAGTTTAAACAAATAAATGTGTAAACTTTTCAAATTGTATTCATTTACAATCAAGAATGTATATTCATAGACTCTTAAAAATAGACTCTTAAACATCATCCGTAGTATAATATCTAATTAGGAAGTAAGTAGGTTTGATTGTATATAAACATCTCTCTCTCTCTCTGTATATTACGTTATGAATCTTGTATTTTACGTTTTGAAAAACATTTATGTTCATGGAAGAAACATTTGGCCTTACACGCGACTATCTTTGAGCATAAACTACACCCAAGTAACTTCCAACTGATAACACTCATTGTCGGTAAAGGCAAACTGCAAATGTAATGTTTACACAGTTTTAAAGATTTCCGCAAATTTACAGGTTCATATTACGTTATACCATCGTTCATTACATGAGCATCGTATCGTACTATCGTATCGTCACGTGTGCTAACTCACCCATGTATGTTGCAACCTATATTTGACAATTTATCTCCCTGGATTTAATGTATAGCTGATCATGTGTGGACAATAAGTATATAGAGTAAAATACATAACGTTAAATACAACGACGATGTTAGGTGGTAGCCAACTGATATATTTGGCATGACTTTGCACATTTCTCCATTTGCTGGCATCATGAGCACCTAATTAACCCATAGTATGAGTTGACACGTGTTTATTTTCTCCATTTAGCCAGTAAGGCCATAACGTAAAGTACATCCTTAATCATACGATTATATCTTAATAGAAAGTTGTTAAACTCAAGTATGTATGGACACCATGTCATATGAAACGTTTTGTTTTTCTTTTATTCCAGAATTAAATAAACTAACTACGCGATTATACATATGCTCACTTCAAGTTAGAATTAAATTCCATCTGAATTTTAGTCCATAACATAAAATACATGAAAACAGCAACATAGAATATTTCATTTTTTTTTGTGAAATTTAAGAAAATTCTTTACAGTATGACTTCTTAAAAGTTGTCTAATTAGATCTTGTGCTGTCATTAGACACTTGTTTCAGCTTCCACAACTCAGTATGTCTTCTCTCTAACGTATATACCATCTCCTGTTGGCGACATTCCTATTTTGACAAGTTCTTTCTTAGCTGGGGCATTTCTCACAAATATGGATGCAAAGTGTGACACTTACGTTAATTATTATGTTGCCACTTCAATTTTAAATTAAATCAATCATATATTGTAACATTTTAATCAAGCATTTACCGGAAAATGTATTGTATATGGAGACGACTTGAATTTTTGGTAATTGTGCACTTATATTGAGAATGAGTGATACACGACAGTGATGAAAGTATGAGGCCTTCCTTAACTTTTGTTGAGAAGTATGACAGATTAAGAACAGTAATATGAAAGTATTTGGTCTTCCCAAACATCTTTTGAGTAGTCCAATTAACTATCGTCTTGTCTTCTTTAAGATTGGTAGGATCGTACAAAATAGGAATGTCCATATGGTTTAAAAACCAAGTGTTAAAAAAATAACCATTTCTACTCACAGTGGCTTCACTTGCATGTATGGCTCCACACTCCTTCATTGCACACAGTCTACATGGAGCTATTCATGAATAACAGTATGAGATGATGCTAAGACAAGGCAACTAGAGAGTCTGACTACCTACAGCCTAGTGAGTCTCTACACTGATTTGTACACTGGGCTTGTTCTACATCTTCCAGGGGTGTGTTTAGGAGAATGTTACACATTTCCAGTTCAGTGTTCTGCAGTATTGACCTCTCACTAACTTGGCTGTTTTTCCTGTGATTTATTTGTATGCTGTGCTGGCTCCACTACAGCTGTGTCTCAGAAGGGTGTGTTTAGGAGAATGGTACACATTTCCAGTTCAGTGTTCTGTATTGACGTATCACCGGTTGTGCTGTTATTGTCTCAAACTCTGACATATTTGAATACAATGTTAACTCTAACACAGTTGGATCTTGGAGTTTTGTGTTTCAGAGACTGTTACACATTTCCAGTCCAATGTCCTACGTGTTTCTAATCCAATGTCCAACTTTTCTATTCCAATGTCTTATGTTTCTAATCCAGTGCCCTACTTTTCTAGTCCAGTTTTCTACTGTTCTAGTCCAGTATCCCATGTTTCTAGTCCAATGTCCTATGTTTCTAGTCCAATGTCCTATGGTTCTAGTCCAATGTCCTATGGTTCTAGTCCAATGTCCTATGGTTCTAGTCCAGTCCAATATGTCCCATGTCCATTGTTTCTAGTCCAATGTCCAATGTTCTCTATGTTTCTATGTGTCTAGTCTAATGTTGTCTATTGTTTCTACATTTCTGGTCAGTGTCTATTGTGTGTCCAGTGTCCATTGTTTCTAATGTCCAGTGTCCATTGTTTCTAATGTCCAATGTCCCCCTATAATCTGTTTGACTGGTTTATGTATTGCTTGCAAGTGAGATCAACATGTGATTCTCAGTTGGCATTTTCGTAAATTTGAATTTTTCCACTTGGAAAAAAATAATATTTAGGGGGATTATGTCATGATTCAGATGGCACTATTTCCATAAGCACTTATATACTCATATACAAACTGATACTGCATATATGTTTATTCAAAATATTATTGAAAATATGAAGCAGCAAAAATATTATACAAATTGTTCCTCTAAGCAGCATGAAACTATACACCCTTGTATTAAGACATGGCATAATGCCATCATCAGAAGACTAAATTAAAATCATTTATAGTCTGTGGTTCCATCTGATTGTACTGGGGTTGGTGGGGTTTGCTTAGTGTTGTCACAACCCCTGGTGTACAGTACACAACCCCTGGTGTACAGTACACAACCCCTAGTGTACAGTACACAACCCTGTGCACCCATGAATCCATTGGTATATGACCACAGTTGGTGGGCACATGAATGTACGTACACAAACACCCATAGTATATGACCAGTTGGTACATGTAAACACCTAGTTGCGGTACTGCAGTAAACTTGGACAAAGTACTGTGACTATGTGTCCCAGTCCACCCAGCTGTGAATGGGTACCTCGTTAAGGATGAGAAAGCTGCAATAACTTTGGTACGCCTTGTGGCTGCAAGAGTTGTATACTCCCCAGGGAGTTGAGATTGATAATACGATGTGCCGTTGACATTGACATTTAATGATCGAGGAAAAATACAAGCGCCTTGAGTATGTACTAATTGTGTGGATATGTGCACTATATAGATATCCTATAAGACCTGGCTTCGATTCCCCACATAGGTACAATGTGTGAAGCCCATTTCTGGTGTCCCCTGCCATGATGTTGCTGGAATATTGCTACAAGCGCGTAAAACCATACTCACTCACTTATATTGTACTGCTTATTAACCAGCTTAAACATGCTGTTCTTGGATTAAAGAACAGGCCTCACGAACACATCCGAGAGTTCACAGGGAAAGTATCTGTGAATTACTGGCACTGTCAGCTGTGTGGGACTAGCAGTGATAAATAATGTCTCAACCAGCTGATTGAAAATCTTAAAATCTGATATAAAGAACTTCAAAGCTGAGCACTGATAATTGCATTATTAGTGAAGAGAAAAATAATAGCTCTGTTCAATTTCTGTTTGATCAATTTGATCAAAAAGTGATGTTGTCAGTGCAGTAAGTTAGCCTGCTAATTGTTATAGATGAAGATTACAACATTGAATATATGGTTGCAGTTTATTAATGATGAATTATATATGCAGCATCAAATCTTTCTTACTGTTAAATACATCAATCAAGGATTTATTTTGTATCCTAAAAAAAGTTCCCTTGTCAACAAATTGTGTTGAACGATTTTTATTTTGGCCAAATAGATATTTATAGACTGTGTTTTTTAAACTTAATTGGTATATCTTCATTGAGTCCATACATCTGTATTGTATATCGTCTCATTGCATGAAAACTGATATCTGTGTGTTTTGTTTCTGCACCTGCTTCAGCTAGTGCCAACCCAAAGTTAATATGGTGTGTGTGAGTGAGTGAGTGAGTTTAGTTTTACACGACACTCAGCAGTATTCTAGCTATAAAGCGGAGGTCTGTAAATAACCGAGTCTGGACCAGACAATCGAGTGATCAACAGCATGAGCATCGATCTACGCAATTGGGACCTGATGACATGTCAGCGAACCTGACCACCTGATCCCGTTAGTCGCCTCTTATGACAAGCATGGGTTACTGAAAATCGATATTCTAACCCAGTGGAAAGTTGGTATGGGGTAAAACAGACCACCAGGACCCTGTTTGTGTTCCTGTTGGGATTTCAAGTAGAATTGGTCTAGTGTACTTGATAATTGTTTACGATAACCGGTGGTCTATTCTGTCCTGAATCCCAGCAGGGACACAATTATCAAGTTAGTTTGTATGTTTGTTGTTTAACACCACACTCAGCAATATTCCAGCAATATGGCGTCGGTCTGTAAATAATAGAGTCTAGACCAGACAATCCACTGATCAACAGTAGATTGATGCTCATGCTGTAGATCCCTAGATTGTCTGGTCCAGACTTGATTATTTACAGACCGTTGCCATATAGCTGGAATATTGCTGAGTGTGGTGTTAAATAGCAAACGAACAGACCATCAGTTATTATAACCCCTGTTTGACTCCTGTTGAGATTCTGGGAAGACAGACCATCAGTTATTATAACCCCTGTTTGACTCCTGTTGAGATTCTGGGAAGACAGACCATCAGTTATTATAACCCCTGTTTGACTCCTGTTGGGATTCTAGGAAGACAGACCATCAGTTATTATAACCCCTGTTTGACTCCTGTTGGGATTCTGGGAAGACAGACCATCAGTTATTATAACCCCTGTTTGACTCCTGTTGGGATTCTGGGAAGACAGACCATCAGTTGTTATAACCCCTGTTTGACTCCTGTAGGAATCCTGGGAAGACAGACCATCAGTTATTATAACCCCTGTTTGACTCCTGTAGGGATTCTGGGAAGACAGACCATCACTTATTAAAACCCCTGTTTGACTCCTGTTGGGATTCTGGGAAGACAGACCATCAGTTGTTATAACCCCTGTTTGACTCCTGTAGGGATTCTGGGAAGACAGACCATCAGTTGTTATAACCCCTGTTTGACTCCTGTAGGGATTCTGGGAAGACAGACCATCAGTTGTTGTAACCCCTGTTTGACTCCTGTTGGGATTCTGGGAAGACAGACCATCAGTTGTTATAACCCCTGTTTGACTCCTGTAGGGATTCTAGGAAGACAGACCATCACTTATTATAACCCCTGTTTGACAACTGTTGGGATTCTGGGAAGACAGACCATCACTTATTATAACCCCTGTTTGACTCCTGTAGGGATTCTGGGAAGACAGACCATCAGTTGTTATAACCCCTGTTTGACTCCTGTAGGGATTTTGGGAAGACAGACCACCATTTATTATAACCTTTGTTTGACTCCTGTAGGGATTCTGGGAAGACAGACCACCATTTATTATAACCCCTGTTTGACTCCTGTAGGGATTCTGGGAAGATAGACCATCAGTTATTATAACCCCTGTTTGACTCCTGTAGGGATTCTGGGAAGACAGACCACCAGTTGTTATAACCCCTGTTTGACTCCTGTAGGGATTCTGGGAAGACAGACCGACAGTTGTTATAACCCCTGTTTGACTCCTGTTGGGATTCAGGTCAAACAGACCACCATTTATTATAACCTTTGTTTGATGCCTGTTGGGATTCTGGGAAGACAGACCACCAGTTGTTAATGTATCTCTTGTGGGATTGGTTAGATTATATCCTCCTTTAACATGTTTGTAAGAGGTAACTGATGAGGATAGCATGTGTGACCCAGCTGATCACGTGTCACCGTACCCTGACTGTACGGATGTTAATATTATTTCACACTCCGATATTTTATTGCCGTGATGTAACTGTAACTTTGTGCACATGTGTGAGCAAGCGTGGATGTATATGTTTCCTGGATGGCCTTGGGAGGGGTAAATCTTCTACTCAACTTGTGTAACATGTTAACAAATTCAATCCGACTCCACATATGTCAAAAGTCGGAAGAATTCATAAAAATAAATTTGACATCGGACACCCAAGAGCTGACAGCTTGTATCTTAACCATTCAGCATTGGCTTGCTTTGGGGAGTTCATGAGAGTGTTACTTGCAAACTGGTATTGTAATCTGATTCATCCCTCAATAAGATTGTCAAAAGCCTGCGTTAGTAATTCCCCCAGAAGATGCCTGGAACTGATGTTGCTGAGAATTCATGGGTCCGTTAATTATGGATTCTCGCTCTCGCTTACAATATTTTCTTCCTGAGACTAGGGAAGGCAACACAAGGCCAAGGCCTGGAGCAACAGGCATTGATGTATTTAAATCATCAGACATTTGTTTGTGTACTTAGAGTAGTGTTGAAGCTATCTTGTCAGAGTAGTGTTGAAGCTATCTTATCAGAGTAGTGGTGAAGCTATCTTGTCAGAGAAGTGTTGAAACTATCTTGTCAGAGTAGTGTTGAAACTATCTATTCAGAGAAGTGTTGAAACTATCTTGTCTGAGTAGTGTTGAAACTATCTAGTCAGAGTAGTGTTGAAGCTGTCTAGTCAGAGTAGTGTTGAAGCTGTCTAGTCAGAGTAGTGTTGAAGCTGTCTAGTCAGAGTAGTGTTGAAACTATC